GATTATATTTTGACAGGTGGCGATTTTGGCGATCCGCCCTGAATAGGGGAGATTCTGCCATTAGTCTACCTTTGCTTTGGGCACTGGCTTAGAAGTGGGCTTAGACTTAGGCTCATCCCCCATATGCTGATAATATAGCTTGGGCATTTGACCTATTTTGTGTTACAGGTCCTTTGGGGTGTATGATTAAAGATAAGGACTAAACTCAGCTTGATCCCTTGAGGATCGTCTTCTGTTATCACTGATAACAGGTCGGTTGCCGATTTTTCGGTTTACGACTCGATTTCAATTCACTCTCCATACTCAACCTAAAAGGTTTTAGCCCTGGTGATCTTACTGTTTGTTAAGGGTTTCACCCGAACTTTTATTGAATGGTCATTTAACAAAGGTACTGAGTATTTAATTGAGGTTGGTTGGATCGGTGGTTGGGGCTTGCATGGCTAAAGCGAAGGGGGTATGAGCATAGAGAAGGGTTGGGGTTGACTCCGTGTAGTGCGTGTTTGTCGCTTGATTCTTGATGTGATTGCAGGTATGTCATGTGGCTTGGATTTTGGATTTGAATTGCCTGCGATCCCATATACATATATATGGTTGTGAGGAGTCCCACTGTGCCTGTGAGAAGTGATCGTCGCATCTCTATTCTCCCTTGTGCGTGTATGCGTAAGTATACCTAGGATGAGTGCTTGAGAGGCCCGAGAGGCCATGTTAAAACTCGTTTAAGGGTTGAGGTCGAGAGGCGCAGGGAACACCCTCCCTTCTGCCTATCTGCGTCTTGGGGCTTTTATAGTCGGACGTTGGTCCTGGGGCGGGATTCAAGGTCCTTGTCCAGGACATCCCAAGCCCTAGACTCTACAGGGAAGGGGGTTTCCCCTCGCACAAAGCCTATTTACTTTGGCCGACGCGACACTCCACCTTGAAGGCGGAAAATGTCGCGAGGGCCGAAAGACGTGTCCTTCAGCCGTTCAATATCGTGAGGGGCGACCCCTCACGATGTGTTCCTTCAGCCATTCAATATCGCGAGGCCGGAACCGCGATTACCACGTATGATTGACATCGGTGGTTGGCATAGAATTGGTCTGCGGCCGCACAGCCTTATGTTAGAATCCCGCCGCGACGCCTCGCCGCCCAGCGTCTAAAAGTTATGGGATCGCTGGGTCTGCACGGAGGGCGCAACGCTTGGATTACTGTAGGCCGCCGGCACCACCCGCGGAGGGAAGGGTACCCCAGGGCCACGAGTCATTTTTAGCAAGGGAACCCTTGCCCTGTTCCCTCTTTTTGGGTTCGTGCGTGTCTTGCTTGCTTTTTAGAGATTTTTAATGGTTGGACGTTGTAGTCCGTGGCAGCCGTCAAAGTCAAACCCCTTGACTTTTGCCCAGGCCCCTGGGGAGGACTTACCCCTAGGGCCGCGAGAGACGACTACCACTACAGGCATGGGCCTGTGTACCACCCACTTTGCATAAGGGTGCAGAAGAGGGTGTGTGGTCTTCAACCGCGCATGGCGGTTGTCTAGCGCTGAGAGATTAACCCTCAAGGCGCGTGTCAGCCGACACTTGAGTGTCGAATACGACCCTCGAGATTAACGAGGACCTCGTGAGTATGGGTACTACATGGTACGCCATCATCGGGACTGCTTGCGCACATTTGCATTGCGAGTCGATATGAGATAGCCCCGCGTCCGCGCGGTTTTATATCGGTTCTCGCATGCGACGCCTATCCGATTTCCGCGTCGGAAAGGTTGTGGGTTGGCTACCGAGGGGCTAGGAGCGTTATCGCGTTGTTCGTGTTGTGTTGTGTTACGTGTATGCATGGGCGTGTGTTTTTATTTTATATCTGTTAGAGTGGTGTGTGCGTGGTGTGTGGGATGCGTCCTAGTTGACCGACGACGAGCCGCGCTCGGGACTTCAGCCCCCCAAGATGTCGGTTCGCGTGCGGGTAAAATAGGCGTATTACCGCGCGTACCCCCTATGCTACAGCGAACGAGAAACGCCCTCGGCTGGTCCACCTCTGCGATTGCAACTGATCAACTTTCATAATGTGGACTGGTAGCTCGGCGGGGATACGCCCACCGATGGGAGGTGACAGCTCCCGTAAGGTGGAGGTAAGACGTGCCTCGCGTAGGCCCTATCCTATCGTAGGGGCTCGCGAGAGGTATGGCTGGCGCACTCGGCCGGAGCGGCCCAAGGAAGCTCCATTTGCGCGTTCGTGTCGAGGTTGGTCCAACTCCTGCGTGACGCGGCCGAGAGGGTCCCGCATTGCCACGAGCGGTGCCGGACCGATGCGCTTGATAGCGCTGCATCCATCGCAGGCCTGCAGTCACGACTTTCATTGGATAGTTGCACTTTCTCAGTTCTTCACATAGTGTTAGCACATTGAGGCCTGTGACGCTGTCGCTGTTCGAATTTCTGTTAGGCCCTCAGTTGGTACACCTATGTGTGTTCAAACCCGAACGGAACAACGAAAATTATCAATCACCCAGAACCCTCTATCCTGCTGGTTCGCTTACCACCACAGGATAGCTGGACCTCACAGGGTGTCTATATCTATCTATCTATATAACTATCTATATCTATATCTATCTATCTATCTATCTACCGCAGCACCTCACAGGATCGCAGGACCTCACATAGGACCTCACAGGGCCCCGTAAGAGGCTTCCCCTGGCCCCAGGGAAAATGGGTTGGATGGGCCAGACCTGGTAGTGCCCCGTTCCGTACATTTTTACTTTTTTGGGCGGGCGGGCCCGCCCGCGCTTTCGTACGTTTTTTTGGGGGGGCGCTTGGTAATGTTCGTAGGGGAGGGGACCACCACCTGAGTGGAGGCACAGGGATTGGTCCTGATGGCATGGTCCCTGACGCTACCGGCTGTCCCCTACTGTCTTCCCCCGAACACAACGCACCCTCATTTTGACTGCATCGGACCGGAAAGACGGCTTGTATACCTTCATTTTCAGCGTGCGTTATGTTCGGGGGAAGACGGTAGTCGGTATCGCCCACCTGCATCGGGAGCAGGCCCCGCATGTTCTCCCGTGAACACGCTTCTGCCTGCTACGGGGTTCCTCGTATGCCTACAATTAGGAGTTAAAAAAAAAAAAAAAAAAAGTAGTGGTAGGTAGGTCGTGTGAGGTGAAATTGGGAGAGCTTCTATAAATGCAAAAACACTTGCTCTCGGCGCTGCTTTATGAACTGGGTCGCTTTTAGCTGAGGGTTTGTGTGGCGCCGCTCCGTCGATTGCAGAAAGTGTTGCCCGGTAGGTATCGGGCAGATTCACCCAGGCAGTGTATATTTCCATGTTCTAGGGGAAGATTCGTCCGATTTTGCTCATCCTATCGATGGAAGTAGAGTGAGGTCAGCTGCGAGGTTGTAGACTTTACCTGCTCTCTCTCTCTCTCTCTCTCTCTCTCTCACACACACACACACACACACACACACACACACACACACACACACACAAAACAAAGAAACAAAAAAAGAGTGTGGCAGTGTATATTTCCATGTTCTGGAGGTAGATTCATTCGACTTTGCTCACCCTATCGATGGAATAGCACGAGGCCAGCAACGAGGTTGGAGACTTACCTGTTCTCTCTCTCTCTCTCTCTCTCTCTCTCTCTCAAATTCTGAGACTTGCGGCGACTTGGGACACAATCGATTTTTCTTGGGATGTATTTGACGAAAATTCTCTCTCTCTCTCTCTCTCTCTCTCTGCGCGCGCGTTCGCCGTGTTGTTGGTGCGGCAGGGTCACATGCCAGCGCCCCGCCTGCAGCGGCATACCCCCGCGGCACGCCTGTGACTTGTTTATATTAAAAAAACAAAAAAAAAGAAGGACAATTCTGAATTACCTGTGCCTGTGTGCCAGGTCAGGTGGACAATAAAATATCTCAGGGCGATCGCCACTTGTTTTTTTTTCTTTTCTGAAGGAAAAGAAGGGAAGGGGGAAGGAAAAGGGGGAAGTGGGGGGGGGGAGATCCGTGTGTGCTAAACGGCGAAAAAGTTTTGGAAAAAAAGAACTGAAAATAAAAGTGTCAAGGAGTTCAAGCACGCCCCTGTAGGCGAGTACCAATAACGGTACTAGAAGAAAAAGGACAAAGGAAAGGAAAGGAAAGAAAAGAAAGGAGAAAACCGGAGCGGAAAATGATGTGTCTGCTGACGGATGGTTTGATTTGATTTGATTTGTTGGTTTTTCCTGTCTGCCACATGGTGCTGCTTACGAAAAGTTTGCGACGATGCGAATAGCAAGAAGAGAGAGGGGACAATCAGCTTTCTGAAGAACGTTGTCTGAAGAATCTTCTCTTTCCACGTTGTGCTGCTCGGCTCGTCAGTCTAAGAAGGATATCGTTTATCCCATCCACGTCATCAAGAAAACAGAAAGAGATAGATAGATAGATAGATAGATAGGGAGAGAGAAGGAGAAAAAGAAAGAAGAGAGAGAGAGAGAGAGAGAGAGAGAGAGAGAGAGAGAGAGAGAGAGAGAGAGAGAGAGAGAGAGAGAGAGAGAGAGAGAGAGAGAGAGNAGAGAGAGAGAGAGAGAGAGAGAGAGAGAGAGAGAGAGAGAGAGAGAGAGAGAGAGAGAGAGAGAGAGAGAGAGAATATATTGGGTTCAGCCTCCTGATGAGTGGGTGAAACTCCGACGAAACAGTTTGTCACAGCCCCTCGTTTGTTGTTCTCTTCTCCCTCTCTGCCTACGGTTTACCTGGGCAGTTCTGTTTGACGATATATGATATATAGGAAGACGATACAAAAAAAAACGCATTTCTTTTTTTCTTCTTTTTTTCTTCTTTTCTTCGCGTTTGCGCTCTCATAACTTTGTGACGATATATAATATATATATACGATATATATACATAGGCCGGCCAACAGGCGGAGCTTTCCTTCCTTCCTTTCCTTTTTCTGTTTTGTTTTTTTCGCCTTTGCTCTCCGATACACGGTGTGACGATATAAATATAAATATATATAAATATTGTTCGCAATTGCGCTCTGATACTCTTGTGACAATATATAGTGAGTGCGAGTATATAAATAGATAGCGAGGGAGAGGAGAAGGGAGGGGAGAGCAAGAGAAGGTTGTGGCCGGGATGGCGGTGGATGGAGAGGCAGGTGAAGGAGGATACAAGCCATGGTGGGCGATTGACAAGCAAGCATGGCGGGAAGTGTTCAGCATCTATTACAAAATCAAGAGTGTCAATCAAGATCTGGAGCCATTGCCAGCGTGGACGATTGCCGACGTGGCAGAATTTGCCGAGGAGGACCCGGTTCATGGTCCCCAGGTTCAGAATCTTCAGAAGGCGGCGACCGCTGCAGCGGTCGCTGCGGCAGTCGGCGGCACCGCCTCCCTTGCGTTCATACTTAGGCAGAGCAGGAACGTACCCGCGGCGGCAGTTGGGCTAGTCGGAGGCGCAGCCGTAAGCTGGGCGCTCGCGGAAGAGATTGCTAATTATTCTCTCGGCTTGTTCAAATTCGAGGGCATGGATGCAAATCTGAAGTTCCTCGAATGGAGGAGGAGAAAAGCCCAACAACTCGGTTCCAATCACTGAGGCATCAACCGATCTACCCTTCGTCACCTGGATGGGATCTTCGTCACGATTCATCATCATCCATCATCATCATCGTCCCCTCATCCTCATCAGGATTCTCGCCATCATCGTACAGTATGTAATCCCTTTTCGCGAGAACTGTGTCCACAGTCGTTTCCGGCAGTGTGGTTGACATCCACAGTAATTTCTGGCAGTATGGTTGACGTCAACAGTTACGGTAATTCTGGCAGTGCGGTTGACGTCAACAGTAACTCCGGGCAGTACGGTTGATGTCCACAGTAGTGTTTTTTTTTTCTTTTTTTTTCTTTTCTTTTCTTTGCTTTTCTTTTCTTTTCTTCCGGCAGTACGGTTGCTGGCGTGCTCAGTCATCCGCCGATGCGATTCTCACGGCAGCAGCTACTGTTGATGTTTGACGTCAACAGTAATTCCTTCCGGCAGTTGCTCACTATTGTGAACAACATGGAGACAGCAACACCTTCGTCATCATCATCATCATCATCATCATCATCATCATCATCATCATCGTCATTGATCATCATCGTCATCGTCATTGATCATCATAAGAGAGCATCAGCATCATGTGGTCATTAGCAGCTGCGGCAGCGGCAGCAGCAGCAGCAGCAGCAGCAGCAGCAAGTAATCTAACGGTAGCGAACGTCGTGCTCGATGAACCAGCTAGATCAGCCAATAAATCAGCCAATGAATGAATGAATGAATGAATGAATGAATGAATGGGTCAGCCATATCCATCAATTACAGAATAGCCAACCAATGCGTCGATCCTTCAGCCAACCCGTCAACTGCCTAAAACATGAAGTTTCGTCCCTCTTCCTCCTTGTCTTCCCTTGGTGTAGTTTCTCACGACAATTTCCTCCATGCCGCTGTGTTGCGTCACTCTGCACACACACACACACACACACACACACACACACACACACACACACACACACACACACACAGAGAGCGAAAGATGTGGCTTCGCTTGTGGGGCGGGTGAATTGCGGCGTGGCGAAAGAGGAACAATTCTGTAATTCTGGACGGCACAGGCCTGCTGGCTGAGGTCGGCGCTTGTTTCTTGGGAGTTGTGCTGTTGCGCGCCATCTCTTACTAGCTATTTGAGGAAGCTGTCGGGTTTCTGCCGTTGTAGTTTTTTTTTTGTTTTTTTTTTGGGTTTCTTTCTATATGCCCGTGTATTCATCATTTCTCTTGGAATGGGTAGAGAGAGCACATCTGCTCTTTGCTCCGAGTGGCAAAGCTGCTGCTCACCTGATTCCCATTGGGAACGATTAGGATTCGTCCTTAAACCTGTTATCTTTTACTTCCCTTCTCCTCCTGCCCCCCCCTTCCTCTCTCCGCTTCCCGTCCCCTTTCCTCTCCTTTGGTAAATTCTTCCCTTCATTGATATTAACTGCTGTCCAGTGAAGTGAGAATTTACCCTTTTACCCTTTTACCCTTTGGTAAATTCTCACCTTTGTCCTTACAATATCTATGCTGGTCTGTTATGGCGACATGAGAGGTCAGTCTTTATGATCCGACTCTTTAGCCATCTCTTCCGTCTGAAGACTGAGCAACGAAGTGGTGGAACGGAATGGATGGGTGGTACACACCTGGAACAGAATGGATGGATGGTACACACCTGGAACAGAATGGATGGGTGGTACACACCTGGAACAGAATGGATGGATGGTACACACCTGGAACAGAATGGATGGATGGTACTCACTTGGAACAAAATGGATGGATGGTACTCACTTGGAACAGAATGGAATGAATGCGAAGTGGTGGAACGGAATGGAGGGATGGTGCACACTTGGAACGTCGGTGGAACAGAATGGATAGACGGTNGAGAGAGAGAGAGAGAGAGAGAGAGAGAGAGAGAGAGAGAGAGAGAGAGAGAGAGAGAGAGAGAGAGCATCGTGCTAAGTTGCTTCGTGTACTTTGAGGTACATTTGTGGCCGACCAGTTGCATGCATAGCCAGCTACTCCCATTTGGTTTCTGCACTGTTGACAATGCCAGGGAAATTTCACACGCATGCAGAGAGAGAACAGAAGCAGACAACCCAAAGATACAGCAGGAGAGAACACACGAGTAGTTGCAGACTGCTTTGGTGAACCGTCACCAACTCTGACAACAGTTTGCTCCAAAGTTCGACTCATGTTGCCAGTGGACTATGGCATGTAGTGCACCAATATGGAGAGAGCTTACAGCAAGGCAAAGGAGCATAGCGCAGCACGGAGAAGGCAACTTACAGCGAGGCAAGCAGGGCGCAGACAAGCAGGGGGGCCGGAACAAAACTACACATCAAGACTGTTACATGCTGCGCCTGCAACAGGCTCCACGGGCCATTTTCAGGCCCGTGTCGTTTTCAGCCTGAAAGCTTGAAAACAAGGGCCTACAGGCCCTGTGTCGTTTCAGCCTGAAAGCCTGAAAACGATGGCCTACAGGCCCTGTGTCGTTTCAGGCTAAATCAGGGCCTTTCCGGCCCTGAGTATTTTCAGCCTGAAACTGAGGGCCATTTTCAGGCCCTCATCAGTTCGACCTGCCCTGAAACTCAGGCACCAGACCAGGGTTTTAGCTCAGGCCATTTTTGGCCTATTTTCAAGACAACCTTCGGTTGAGCTTCAACGCCAGGGTCTGGCACATTTTGGCATTGGATGATTGGCAAGAGCAGCCTCCTGGACGGGCCAGCACTATATAGGACTGGCCCGCCCTGCAGCCTGCAGCTAGTTCATAGGGACTTCCCAGGCACTTCACGTGCAGTTCAGGAGGCAGGAGGTAGTCTTCAGGATTCGGCAGCAGCACTCTGGAGGAGCGCTGCAGTAGTAGTAGTAGCGTTAGCAGTAGTCTTCAGCGCTGGGTGCTAGTAGTAGCGTTAGCAGTAGTCTTCAGCGCTGGGCGGTAGAAGGAGCTAGAGTAGTACTGGAGGGAGAGAGAGATTGGGCGGAGGCCAGGGAGACGTACCTGCAGCGGCAAGCTCCAGCTTCGTCTTCGAGGTACCTGCAGCACAGCGCCATCTTCACAGGTTAGTACCTGGCACAAGAGAGAGAGAGAGAGAGAGAGAGAGAGAGAGAGAGAGAGAGAGAGAGAGAGAGAGAGAGAGAGAGACAGGGAAGTGAGAAGCAGAGAGCGTAATGGTAATGTGCGATTGGAGGAGTGGAGGAGTGGAGGGGACGACGGGCAGAGCTTGTGAACTCTACACCATCATGATGGCCCAGGAGGAGAGTTTGCACCTCTTCCTTTTTTTTTTTTTTTCTTTCTTTCTTTTAGTACCCTATTTTCTTCTCTCAATACGTCTCTCGCTACCTACCCATATATATATATCCTACCCTACCCACATGTCCCACCCTTAAAAGTCCATAATAATATATATGTCCTACCCTTAAACCCGACGAAACAGCCCAGCATAATGACCAACTGAACTAGAACGGCCTATGGACCACACAGCGGAGCTAGCTTTCGGATAGGAGATCAGCCTTAAATCTCCTACCTAGAACTTAGCTAACCTAAGGTTATGGGTCTACGCCTACCTAACTCTGCTCTGTGGGGGGGAGCAGCACCCAAGCTCCTAACAGCTGGCGAGGTAGCGAGTCTAGCGAGACTTCCACAACCAGCCATGAGGGACAAGCCAACTTTCTCAGCTGGTGAACCCGAAGTACACCACATAGGGGATCGTGGGGAGTCTAATGGATGACGTGGGAATTGAACCCACAACCTCCTCAGCCAACTCCGGCCTTTCGCCTCTTCCTTTAGTTTTTTTCTTTTTTCACTGTTTTTTGTGTATTGCTTGTGTAAGTTATTTGAAGAGTTGCGGAAAAGGAAGGTCTGTAATTGCACTCAGCACCAAGCGGCGGTGATCTGCATATGGTGGTCCCGTAACTGTTATTGGTTATCTGGACGTGGTCCCATAATTGGTATTGGTTATGCGAAAGGTTTCTTTTCTTTTTTTCCGCAGGAAATCATTTCGATTCAATTGCAAGCGAATATTTGGGAGAGGCCGGAGATCTCACATTTATCCCGGCAGCATCAGCCGGTTTAGCTTGAGTACCACACCCCTCTGAACAGGAAAACTTATTCAGCTTAGCTTATGCCCCTGGCGGAACCATGGACCAATTCATTAACCAATCACTCGATCGAATTTGCCGCTTCTGCTCACCTATGTTTAGATTCCAAAATCTTACTTCTTAATTTCCAACCGAATTAGCGCTACGGTCGTCACCCGAGTCTTCACCCGAATAGAATGCCCGGTCATTATGGTTGTGTTTGGGCCAACTTCCAGTCTGGGCACTCCGACCAGAGATGTCTGGTGGACTCTTATAAGGGCCAAGTACAACGGATACAGCCCAAGGGTACTGGTGCACCGCGGCCAATTAACCACACTGAGGAAGGGGTAATCATTAGGGACAGCATCCACAGAAGACTTGCCTGCTATAGGTCTGGGAATTCCAACCGAATACTCCATAGCTTCTTGAAGTCGCTTGTCTTTGATTGCGGATCTTCGGTGAGCACTGGCCCTCATATGCTTATCGCTATGTCCTCAGGGGACCTTGACTTGCAGACCGCCCGTCTGTAGGACTCCCCTACTGTATAGCTTGCCAGGTCTAATTTGCCTCTACTCCATCTCCACGCTCTTGCGTCGATGCTGAGTTGCTTAAGAGGCNGGTCAGGGCTTATATCTAAGTCTTCCACTGCACTATAAAGCACCATTTTACATGCGGTTAACCAGGGGTTTTATTATTCGACGAATTTTCATTTTAGAGTCATTTCTTTGGGGAGTCCATCTATGCCAGGGGTCTTCTCTTCGTCCATCTGCATCATCGCCGTCCATATTTCCTCCTTGACAGTGGACGATCCAGATCTGCTTGTCGTTGGCCCGTCAGGGTCTTTTCCAGCGGCTTCAAGAAGTCTTCAATATCCTTCTCCCTGGCATTTCTCTCCCGCCGTGCACATCTGGAAGTGAACAGATCCTTGTAAAAGGATCTGGCTATCTGTAGGCAGTGGGGGGAGGAGGTAACGATGTCTTGGTGACCGGTCTGGGGGTCGTATAATGCTTCTATGATTGTTCTCTGTGAACGTGCTCGGGCTATGCTGAAGAATTTTGTGTCCATTGTCCCTTCCGTTTGTAGCTTTGTTAGCCTTCCTCTTATCCGTGCTCCTTCCCAACGTTGTGTGGCGAAGACCTGGAGTCGCTGTTGCAGTTTTTGGATCTCTGAGCCTTCTGGTGGTTGTGTGTGCGACGCATGTTGAGCATTGTGTGGAGCGTTGTGCGGACTGTTGGGTTGGTTTTGGTGTTCCAGTTGCTGCAGTTGTTGGTGAATCTCCATCTCCTGATGATGTTTTCTCGTGGCTAGGAGTTTAGAACTAGTTGATTGACACTAAGTTAATGCTCAAAGCTTGTCTCTGTTTTTCATATCAGCCTTCCTGAGTTCCTCATTGGTAACAAGGACATTGTCTACTGCGAGGCAGATGTGAGAAGGTCTCTGCTGCGCACTCACCGGGTTCACTTCTATAACCCATCGAAAGCTTGTCATTTTTGTGGGGATGGATTCATATTGGCTTGACTATTTCTACTCAACTCAACTTATTTTCCCGTGCTTAGATCTGACAGTGTTGCACTTATCAGTTGCACACACGACGTGGAACCCCAATATAACTGCTGCTGGTGCAAACTGGGTAATTCGTATTTGTGGCAACGGTTGGTATGCGATATCAGGGAGTCCGTTTCACAGAGCACACCCACGCGGCTGGCTTACTTCTGGTAAACTTCCTCATGCCCATTCCTCAGCCCTCTTCGTTGTTGGGTTGCAAAGCTTCGAAGTTCGAACTAATCGAGGCGCAACAACAATTTTGTCAAAATGGACATATTTTATTTTTTGAACGAAATTGGAAACTCATAGATTGGCCCGATTTAGGTCGATATTTTCAGCTCCTTAGGGTAGGGCATTTGCGTTCTGAAAACGCCCTACCCTCTGGATGCAAGCTAAGTCCTGATACATTCAGGGGGAATGTCGTACCCCCTGGACTCCAGCTAAGTCCAGATACATCCAAGGGGTCCGGCGTCTGGGTCCGGCGTTTTAAGGACGCCGGACTCTCAAGAGCTTGAAATTTCCACCTAAATCGGTCCAATTTATGAGGTTTCAATTTCGTTCAAAAAATAAAATAGGTCCGTTCTGACGAAATTGCTGTTATGATCTCTCCTGTCGATGTATGTAATCCCTTTGGAAATTCAATGTTCCGAAGGAGACCAAGCCCATTCTTTCTGATCTTGGAAGCCTTTTCATTTCTTTTGCTGTTTTGCAACCCTTTTCACTCAAGTCCTCCCGGAGAGGGGACAATTTTGAAAACGGTTCGTTCGGACTTCCTGTCCCTTCCCTCTTGTTTTTTTGGTAAGGACAACCCCTGAACTGAGACGGGAAATTCTGGTTTTGTCCTGGGATTTCACCCCCTTGCCCACAATCCTTGGCCAGGCCCCATACTCGGATCGGCGCTCCCCAGGACGGATACAGAACGCTACCCGGGGCATGAAGTTTCCCTGCGTACGGCAGGTTATACCATTGAAAATTTATATTATCTCTGGATTCCTTGTCAGCCTTCTTCCCAGTTTTGATCTTGGTGGAAGGAGCTGCGCGTAGCACCACTGGAACGGGGATTTTTAAAAAAAAGTCAGGATGCCCCTCCGGGATGGGGGCGTGTTGCTCCCGGCGAATAGATTGGAGCTCTTGTTCAAAAAAAAGAAAGGGAAAACTAGG